TAGACTAAATTATCTCAACGGGTTTCTAGCTTCGGAGAAAGAAATGGAAGGGACCAGTCATGTGCTGTGATTGTTCTGGAAGGAGGTTGTGCCCTGAGGCCAGGAGGAAGTGTGGGAAGGCTTAGCAAGAAGGTCAAAGGCCTCCTGGCCAAGGAACAAAGCAGGCAAGGGGACCATGAGGAAAACCAAGGAAAGGGTACAGCATAGGTCCCTGCCCACTGCCGTGGCAGGTTTCCACCCGTGCTTAACAGCCTAACCCGAGGCCAACTCAGCAGATTAGGGGAAGCCTAGAGTCCTAAGAATGGTGGTTCTAGGAAGAGGCAGTGGTCAGCAAGGGCTTCACCCAAGCCTGCCAGCGAGGATGTCAACAGGCAAGGGCAAGCTGAATCCTAACGAGCCTATCATCTTTCCTTGGAAACAGAAAGGAGACCCAAACACCTAAGAAGAGAGGCCGTGTTGGAAATGAGGATTTTACGTCAGTTTGACCTGTTCATATTTCTTTTCCGTTTCTCCCACGAACTTTCTAAAGGGTGAAGGATTCTGGTCCAAAGACAGGACATTCATGGGAGGGGTTCCTATGACAGCTAACCTTTCCAGGAGGTTGTGGAAGACAGGACAGCTACAAGAGTGAAAAGAAGCATACGTTCAGATCTGGGCAGGAAGGATCACAGGCCTGGTGATGGGCTTGGTGGTGGAGCGCTTGCTTAGCAAGCTGGGGCGATTTAAGCCCATCGCCTCGAGAGAGCGTACTTGAGAAAGTCAGGGTCTCGCTGTCAGCTGTCACTCAGTTGCTTTGCCCGAGGTGGCTGATGGCGGCTGCGTTCTATCCGTTCTATCTGTCTTGCATAACAGTTATGCAATGCTCCCAGCTGACAGTCTGGGGACAAATGACCTTCCAATGACTTATACACATGCAAGGACAGAGCCAGTTTTCTGCTGTAGCTGCGTAATTGATCTGGAAACAAAACCCAGAACAAATAGTTAGTCTTTGTGGACCACGCAGAGTCCAGACAGGCCTCTACTTGTGCAGATTATAAGAGAATGTCTTTCTGTGGTTTTCTGTTAGCACTTTAAACAGCGACTTAAGCCAAACAAGCACATCCAGTTTTTGTTGAAAAGCTGAGTCCTAAGGGCTTCCCACCCATGAGCAACAGGGGCAGGGGCAGGAAGGAGCAAGGGCACCAGCTGGGGTCGGAGGCCCAGGCCTGTGATCCCAGCTACCCCTGGAGGACATGGCAGGTCACTCACGTCCAAGGCCTGCCATTCTAGGCGACAGAGCGGTGAGCTGAAGGCCAATCTTTGCAACATCTCGAGATTGTCTCAACATAAAGAGTAAAACTGAGGACTGGGGTACATAGCGGTATAAACATACTCAACGGCAGAGTACCTGCCTAGCAGGCCCAAGGCCCTAAGGCCCTAGGTTTAGCCCTTAGCACAACACACACACACACACACACACACACACACACACACACACACACACACACACCAGCAGGAGCAAGCTGGAGGCAGTAGGCTTCTAGATGTGGTGAACGGACAAGGGCTTTGTGTGGCATTGACTGTCTTTATCTGACATCCTCAGGAACAGACTGGGGGTTCTCTCAGTGGGCATATTCTTCAGCATAAGAAAGGCTTCTCACAATAGCTCCTTCATGAGGGGTGAGCTTTCCTATACCCTCTAAAGAAAGCATAGACAGATTTTAGCTCCATTTCCCAGGAAGCTAACACTTCCCACTTTGGAGCCTGTTGGCCTTTAGGAGACTGGCCCAGCACTTCCAAACCCCTTCTTGTCTGTGGCTACAGTGCTGGCCTTTCCTCTGAGGGGCTCTTCCTGACTTCCCCACTTACTCTCCGACCTTAGGTTTTGCTAAAGGTCACCTCCCTGGCAGTTCCTGGCTTCTATATCTAGGCCTGAAAACCCCAATCCCCGTCCCCAGACTCCTGGTTTTCCTCTCCCACACCTTCTCTGACATATTTTCCCATCTTCCCTCAGGGATCGGAAGTTCCCAGAGGGTGTCTGTAGCCTGGTGAGGCCAGCAGTTAGTGTCCAATTAAACTTCATTGGGATCCATCAGGAAGCTCAATTAAATGTGTTTGATACATCAGAGAGGCGTTAACCAGGCTCAGCCACACTTCCGGCATCCTGCCTCTACTTTCCCACTAAACATCCCTTTTCTGGGAATAGCAATCAGCAATCTAAACCACGCTGGCTCCGTCTCACACTTTCAACGTCAAGTACAGGGTGTTCTTGCTTCGGATGTTTCTGAACCAGCAGTTCTCAAACTTCCTAATGCTGTGACCCTTTAATACTTTAATCCTCGTGTTGCGGTGACCCCAACCATAAAGTTATTTCACTGCTACTTCATAACTGTAATTTTGCTACTGTCATGAACGGTAATGTAAATATTTTTTGAGATAGAGGTTTGCCTAAGGGATTGTGACCCATGGACTGAGAACCACTGTTAACCCTTAGGGCTCAGGGAATTCACATGTTGGTATGCATGCCACAGGATACAGTGGAGCCTCTCTGCGTGGAGACACACATTAGCATATACCCTTGCCTCCAGCTGTACAAGCCCAGCCGAGGTCAGCTGTTCCGGGACACAAGCATTTCCCAGGAACTGAGCACAATCGGGACCAACTGATGGATTCCTAAGCAAGGGCCCCTCCCTGCAGCTGCAGCTCCCACATAGCTTTCTCCTGAAAGTCTTGGCTTAAAAGAAACCCCAGGCTTTGTAGGATCAGCTGCTGCAAAGAGAGTCTGGTGTGCAATTGCGCCCTCTAGTGAACGAGACGAGAAGCTAAAAATTCTACTTTGCCAACAATTTCAACTATCTAAGGACTTCTTTTTGCCTGTGGGTCACGGGTTTTTTTTTTCCTCAAGTGCTGTCCACCTTGCTTTTGAGACACTCCCCGCCACACATTAGTCGGGAACTCACCAAGTAGGTTACACCAGAGGCCAGTGTACTCTAGGGACCTGCCTGCCTGTCACGTGCCACCATGTCCAGTTTTTTTACTTGGGTTGTAGTATCAGAGGTCCTCAGTTGCCAACTCAGCTATCTCTCAACACTAAGGCCTTCTTGACCACAGATTTCATGGGCCGGCCTTAATCCTCATAGAATCCAGAGATGGCCACAGAGATTCAGGTCTGTCCAGGATAGGTCGAGACCTCATCTCAAACATACCTGCGTCGTCTGGTGTCAACTAGTCAGTGGCTAGGCATGCCCAAGGTTGGGGGAGCCATGGGAGAGATAGAAGGGAGCAGGGGGTGGCTGGGAACTCTTCCAGCTGGGTAAAATGTTCCAACTTCTGTGGAGTCTGTATTCCCTGAGCTTCAACGGCAGCCAGCAGGCTAGTCAGGGAGCCTTCTGCCCTGTAGTCAATGACATCAGCAGAGGAAGAGGCCATCTCAGGGCAGCCTTTTAGCCGGAATAGGACCAGATGAAGGTGCTTCCGGGAGGGTTTGGCACCACAGTTTAGGCCTCCCTGCCTCGTGACTGCCTCTCCACTAGACACTTCCCTGCTCTGGGCCAACTTCTGCTTAAGGAATCCCCAAGGACACTCAGTGTAGTGATGACACTGGCTGAGGCATGACCACGAGTTTGAGGCCATCTTGGACTACACAGCGTGTTCTTGTCTTAAAGGCTCGTGCCTGTAACCCCAGCAGTGGGGAGGGTGTGGCAGGATGGTGGGGAGTTCAGCCTGGACTAAATCATCCAGAATTGGATATGAGATCCTGTCAAGAGCGATCGCACTGGCCACCTGAGGACCAGTTGCCCAGACAAGTTCTGGGAGCAGACTGGAGCCACCATGAAGATGCCACACTGTGGGCAGGAAAAACCCTGCACCAGGATGAGTCAGGGACACGCCACCAAAACAGTCTACTCCAGAAAGATCAGTACAAACTATTTTTTCCAGTGAACATTGCATCTTGACACATTAATTTAGGCAGCAGTCTTTTTCTAGAGCTAGCATGTGGCCAACAGAACGCTTTTGTGAGAGCCAAATGCGAATACTGAGGCCATGGGGTCTGCAGCTACTGCAGCTGGCTCGGAAGCACCGGGCTCCTTCATGGGATGGACCCACGGGCACCATCACAGCTCCTCTATCAGGGCTTTCCAGGTACACACAGGGAGGTGACGGGGTTGGCTGGCCCCAGGAGAAGACCCAGGTCTGGGTAGGTCTCAGGAGCTAGCTGGATAATGGGGTAAGACTGCGAACAGGTCCAATGAGCCACATCCAAGGACAACGGAAGCCAAGGGGATAGGCCCGGCACAGCAAGCCGGTCTTCCACACCGTGCAAACAACAGGAGCACAGTATGGCAGACAAGCCACACTGGCTTTGTTCTTGTAAACAACTAAACTCTCCACTGCCAGCAGTGTACCCAGTCTGTGACAAGGTCCCGTAGATGTGCAATTGGGCGAAGTGGGGACAACGGTAGATCTGATCCTGCTGAGGACACTGGGCCAGAGGTACCACAAAAATGACCCCAGATGCCATGACCCCGAGGCTCTCAGGAGAGGGATGAGCCCTACAGAAAATACAATGTACCTTCCACCTACCTGCAAGGTAGGCCAGCAAGAAACACCCATGCACACAGATATATAAACTAAGAAAAAAATTTTTTTTAAAAAGAAAAGAGGCACACCAGTGGGTTTCAGTAACCGCAGGGCACACTGGTGGGCAGATCCCAGAGTAGCCACTGTGCGTCTGCTAACTCCTACGGAGATGAGAGGAACACCTAGAAGGGCGTGGATCCCAGGGACCTTATACCTTACTCCCTATACAACTTTTAGCTGTGTGCTTTGTGCCCCAAACAGCTGGGAACAGGGCCACTTAACACGTGTTGTCCAAACAAACCCACACTGGACAAACTGGGCGGTGGTGGTGCACGCCTTTCAGCTTTTCACCCCAGCACCTGGGAGGCAACGGCAGGTGGATCTTTGAGCACCAGGCCGGTCAGCCACACAGCAAGACCCTGTCAGACAAGCAGTCCAAACAGAGTGGCCAAACTCCGTTTATTTAGAGCCACCACACAGAGCAGTCAGAGTCAAACCCAACAGGCCCAGGGTCACGCAGTGCACACGCCAATCTTCCAGTCATAAGACCTGAAACAAGAAAGCAGACGCCGTCAGTCTTCACCCCGCTTCAACCCACCAGCCCACAGGACACCGCCTCACCCCAGGTGGATGTATGAGGTGCCAAGTACGCTTCCACTGGCATACCTTTCCCTAGGCTCAGAAACTGCTGGCACCCAGGGCTGACCTTCCGCTCTTCAGGTTTAACTGTGAGCCCTGTGGGTCAACAGCCACGAGCCGGGCCTCTGGTGACAAAGGACCCTGCGTTTCATTCCAGTTTCGACTTTCCTCCTCCCCTCCAGCCCTGTCCTCAGAGCTTGTACTTCCTGTCCCATCTGTACCTCCCTGGCAGGACCATAGTCCTGGTGTGTCCTCACACGTGGTCTCTTTCCTGCTGTCGTACACTATTTATTGACGTCCACTTGGACGTCTGAGGTCTGTGGGACCTCAGACATACTAAGCACATATTAAGCACATACTAAGCACATGCTCCACCACCGAGCCACATTCCAGCAAGGCCCACAAGGCCCTAAAAAAGCACGAAGCATGCCTTAACTACGGCAGATTCCTGTCAACAGGTTTTTGGAGGTGTGCTAGACCAGGACCTCCAACATGGTGATCACTAGTCCCATGTGGCTATGTAAAATACAAATTCTAGTCCCTCAACCACATTGTAAAGACAGCCACGGGAGGCCCCTGGTTGCCCGGGAGTCCGGGTGAAATATTTCTATCATCAGAATTTGTCTGGTCGTACTGTGTCTTATACAGTAATGTCTGAACTCACAAATGTCTGTTTAAACTCAACATGGGGCGGAGCATGTACCCAGTAAGTAGAGTACTTGCCTAGCATGTAAAAAGCCTTGGGTTTGATAACCAGCACATGAACCAGGTGTGGTAGAGGGTGCCTGTAACCCAACAATCCAGGTGTGAAGGAGGGTGGATCAGAAGTTTAAAGGCTATCCTCGGCTATATAACGAGTTCATGGGCAGCCTGGGTTAAATGAGACCCTATCTTAGAGGGTAGTGATGCTATAGCTGGAGAGCTGGCTCAACAGTTAAGAGCACTTGCCGGTTCTACAGAGGACCTGGGTTCAGTTCTACACTGGGGCTCACATCTGTAATTCCACTTCCAGGGGATCTGGTAAGCCTCCTTTAACCTCTGAGGGCGCCGGGCAAACATTCATACATGTTAAAAAGCAAAATCTATAAGGATGGCTGAACAATGGATCACATTTTTACTTTCGAAGGAAACAAACGACATCAAAGTTCTGTGGTGTTCTGAGCTGTACTCGATCCGATAGCGCTAGCAAGGATCCTGTTTGCAGTATCATACATGATCACCAAACTGCTGCTAGGATGCTCACACCTGTTACTGCAAATCCAACCCCAGGGAACAGGTTCCTCTGGGAATTTTCTTTAGGTCAAGGTCGGGCTGTCTGGTACAAGGCTGCACCCACCTCGGGCAGGTTCAGCCACACAGGAGCCTTTCCCCAGACCGTCCAGTTCAGGACACTGGAGCTGCGGGGTTGACATACCTGGGTCACCCACGCTGAGGTCACCTGAAACTCTCGAAGGAGAAAGGAGTTACTGCGTGATTTCTTTCAGTCGCGGGGGGCCGGATAGTTCGCTTTCTAGGTGGGGAAAAAGAGTCATACAACTGAGTTTAAGTGGATGGCCTCGTGTGTGTGTCACACTGGAGACGCCCGGGCACCGTGCATCCCTGCCACCCGCCGCCCATCCCGCGGCCGCCTGCGCGCCCAGCCAGGATTACGCTCCTCCCGGAAGCAGCTTCCGCAGAGGGAGCGGATTCTCGAGCCCCGGGAGCGGTTTCCGGAGCCCCGACTGCAGGGCCCAAGTAACCTCCACGCCGCCACACAAAGATTAGCTTCCCCTCGATACGAAGCGCGCGGGTTCCTCTCCCCCGGCGGAAGCAGCTCCCCAAACGCACTTCCGACCGGAAGTGAAGACTTACCATCGAGACTGCCGCTAGAGGGTCGCTCTGGCCTTTGAGTCATCCAAAGACGCCTTAAAGGGGCTGCGCGGTCTTAGAGACCCCAAGGCTGCCAGGCCTCGTCTAGATGGGCACAAGCGGGAGGGACGTCCTACTTGTGGGCACCAGGAGCTGGCCGCTGTCCCTTTACCTCTCCCTCAGCCCTGTGCAGGACATTGGGCCGATGGTACATTTCTAAAAGCTGAAGTTCCCGAGGGGTCAAGTGGCTTTCTCTGAACCATCCCGGGTGTGGCAAACCGGGTCGAATCCCAGCCGGTCCTGCTGCAAACCTTCCATCACAGCATGAACCCATCATTGGGATCAATTGACCGTCCATGAAGTCAGCACCTGATCCGATGACTCCCCCAAAGACGCACCTCTGAACCGGGACTGGATCTGGAAACAAGCCTTCAACAGAGAGCTCCTGGGGGATGTCACTGTGGTCCAGCAAGAGTTTGAGTCTGTGATGTGGCATCTCTGGGCTAAAACCGCAAAACTCCAAAGTAGGCATCCAAGCCCTGCATCCAGCAGGAGGCTTCAATTGTCCAAGGTATTCCCAGGGTTCCAACAGGAAATCCCACCAAGAAATTGATCAATTATCCCAGGGTCAAGTCAGTGCTGTGTAGTTATTTCCCAGAACAGAAACATCCCATCCTAGAGGGAAGCTTGAGAAAGTGCTCTAAGGAGGGGCCTTAAGAAATTAACTCAGGAGCCTCAAGAGGTCCCTGAAACTAACCAGATTCACAAGGCCCCCTCCCTCCCTAAGGCTATGTACGGAGTAGCAGGAGCCAGAGAGGCAGAGGCGAAGGATCTCTGTGAGTTCGAGGCCAGCCTTGTCTATAGAGCTAGTTTCAGGACAACCAGGGCTACACAGAGAAACTCTGTCTCAAAACCAAACCAAACTACCCTGCCCCATGCTCCCAAATGGAGGCACAAACTAGCCCGAGATAAGGGGATTAGACCTGCAGACCTGCAGTGTTAAAGCTCTCCACAGTGCTGGGATTTCAAGTGTGTAGCATCCTATATGGCTGCTGTTGGTTCTTGGTATGAGTCTATCCATTGGATAGTCTTGGGAGACACTTGGAAACTATTGTTAGAGGAAGTCCGGGAGGGTTCCAGTACAGCCCACCCCACTTCTCTGCCCTGTTGTTTTAGTTTCGTCTGCTCCTCACTTAGCTTTGGTTGTCTGGTTTTGCTGCCGGAACAACTTTGCTTGGTTATACTCCAGTTATCAGCTTACTTGATAATTAAAAATGTAATTAGGACGAGTTCAGCAGCACAAACAGGTTTGGGAACAGTGACTTTCGGCGGCTGGCATTGGCCTCTTTGTGATGGGAGTGGAAGTTGGGTCAACAGGAGAGGAGTCTCCAAGTCTCCTGTGTCCCTTTGGGTAAAAACACACCAGTCAGTGAGCTCCACCTGAGGCACGGGCTTCGCACCCTGTGTTGCCTAGGCTGGCTCAGATCCCCTGGGCTGAAACGATTCTCCTGTCTGAACCTCCCAGGTCACGGGCTACAGGTGCCCTGTGATGGTGATATGTGGATCAGCTGAGCTGTTTCTGTCTCTTGGAGGCAGAGAAGGACAGTTCCCAAAGTTAGCAGGGCCGGGCAAGCAGAAGGGAGAAAGCCGCGGAACACGAGGTGCATTCCACGGCCACGTGTGCCCCCTGGTGGTGCCTCTGAGAAGTGCAGCCTGTCAGGCTGTACCTTTTGAGGTCAGAAATGGACCAGACCTAGGTCCTGGCCCATGACCCTCTTCCCTCCTACTTTCCCCCTTTCAGCCTCATGAGGAAAAAAAAAAAAAACCCTCAAAACCCGGCTCACCACATCTCACAGCAATGCATTAAATAACCCACAGAGAGGAGTGTGAGAAAGAAGAGTGTGTGGAGTGTCTCAGCTTAGAAAGAGAGGGAAATGTTTGACAACACCCAGCTGCTGGGTTTGAAAGTGGAGGAACGAGCCACAGAGCAAGGAGCACTGGGAGCTCAGAGAGGCTAAAAGAGGCGACCAGAGGGCAGCCAACACCTGCTTGATCACAACTAGCTACAAGAGAGTTGGCAAGTCGAGCCTGCTAACTGGGGGCTCTGTCCAGGTGAGGTCAGGCTAGAGGCACCCCAAAAGCAGTGACAAGAAAGTGGCCTTAAAATGTCCTGACGGGGCCAGCGGGAACTCCCAAGAAAAGAGCCCTAAGTGCCAGGGTAGACCAACCAAAGCACTATCAGGGGAGCTGACATAGGAACCGTGTGTTGGTTGGGGTTCTCAGAGGGACAGAGAAGAGAATGGCTCTCTATGTATCAAAAAGGGCTCGATTACAGTGGCCGACAGGCTGTGGTCCAGCTGGTCCCACAATGGCTGTTTCCCGATGGAAAGGCCAAGAGTCCAAGGTTCAATCCATGAGGCTGGATATCCATCTCAGCTGGTCGTCAGCACACACCGGAATCCTGACGACGCAGGTTCTAACACCGGCACAGGAAGGCCTTGGTGGCAGGATAGATGAACTTGCCAGGGAGAAGGAGGGCAAGCAGGCAAAAATCAAAAGCTTCCTTCGTCCACGTCATTTTATGTGGGCTGCCACCAGGTGTGGCCCAGGGTTAGGGTGGGTCTTCTCACCTCAAATGGTCTAATCAAAAAAGAAAAAAAAAAGAAAAAATCCCTCACAGGTGCAGCCGGCTGCTTGGGTTTTAGCTGACTTCAGCTGCAGTCCAGTTGGCAGCTAGGAAGAGGCATCCTGTTCAGGTGTGCCCATGAGCAGTGGAAAGGCTGGAGAGTTTGCATAGGAGTTTGAGGGATTTAGGTTGGTGGTGTGACTCACGCGCAAGGTTGTGGGTTCATTCCTAAACCCTGCAGAAATGAGTTCCTATTTCCAGAAGGGGAGGGGCTGCTGCGGTTGTCTGTGTCTCTACTGCAGATGCAGGGTGCGCAGGGGAAGCTGCGGGGTGCCCCTGTCTGCGCACTATTCACAAGAATTTAGTTCGCGAGCTTCGGGCAAGGGGCTGGAGGTTGTGGAAACACACATAGAGACAGACAGACACACAGACCTCCAATCACTGGTACAAAACCCTTCTTTAATAGCACCATGGAGGCTTAAATACCCAGCAGTCAATGGCCAACAGGTGAAAAATCCCATCCTCTGATCCTCTAGGCAAGGCACAGCTTTTAGTAACTTCAATTAGAAGGTTCTAGCAGGGAAGAGCAGCTGAAGGCCAGGACTCCAATTGGTCCCAACAGAGCTTTCAAAAGCCCTTACCAGGTCCAATCTCTTTTTCTCTCTCTGCCTCTATCTTGAAGATCAGATGTAAGCTCTTAGCGACTGCTCTAGCGCCAGGCCTGCTTGCCAGCCACGGTGCTCCATGCCATGATGGTCAAAGCCCGCAATTAAATGTTTACATGTTGCCTTGGTCATAGCGGTAGAAGAGTAGCTAAGACACAGCACACACCACCATGCCCCGTCTTTTACATGGGTGTTAGGGACTTGAACTCAGGTCTTCATGCTTGCCTCTGGCCTCCACTTGCATGTGTACACAAATGCATGAATACCCACATGTGTGTACATCATTTATCACATCCTCATTTATGCCCCCAGCATGCTAAAGCCTGCATGGGCAGCCCGTTTATGGCGGTTCTCCTGTCGTTCCTATCCTGGGCAGTCGTAGATGCTTGTGTTATTGTCATACCCAAGGTTCCACAGTTTTCCTTTATGCTGTCTATTCAGCGTGTTTTGGGTCTTCCTCTTTGCCTTATTCTGATGGGGAATCTTTGCCAACCAATTATCTTTAAGAGGTGGGGCCAAGTTAGGGTGTGGCTTTCTGGGACCCCGGAGGGGCGGGGCACAGCCCAGGTGCTCTCTCTATGTAGTTCCCTCGCAGCACAGCTGAGCTTGGACTTCTCGTTCCTGTTTCGTGAGTTTTCCCCTTATAATAAATAAAAATATAATTGTTTTATCTTGTAGCTAGCCTGGTTATTTCCCGAATCGAGCTAAGGTCTACATTATCCCGTACACTCTGTCAAGCAGTGCTGTCTTTGGGTGTCTGCCGTTGTTCATTCTCATAACGTGACCGAAGTATCTCAAGTGCCCTACCCATATCCTGTAGTTTACTTTCTTCTGTAGATGGAGATGTTTCTTGATGTCACCGTTGCATAGCCCATCTCTTTGTGAGACGCCTAGAATCCCGCTGAGACACGCCATCCCAAACACATTCAGCCGCTGTTCTGAGGAGCGTTTCATAAATGCTCTATTCATTCTATAAAGATACCCTTGCATCAGTCAAAGTCTGTGGAGAGCTAAGTGATACGTTTAAGACAATCGTAGGACTGTTGCAGTCTCTCACCACAACAGCCCCGGAGGATGAGGAGAGAGGCGTGCAGACGGGTAGCGTGCTAATCAATAACTTGCGTTTTGCTGACGAGACAGCACCTGCTTGCTGAAAGTCCAAATAAGCTGCAGGCCATGGTAGACAAAGTGGTGGAAGTCAGTGAAACCCTTGTGTGAAAGTAAACATCGGGAAGACTGAGATACAGCCCACGGGAAGGGCACACAAGGATTTCAACACTGTAGTAGACAATCAGAACGTGTGTGTACACGTACATGCAAATGCCTTCTCTAGGGCATAGTGGCACGCACCTATAACCCCAGGTACTTGGAAGGCTGAGGTTAGAG